TTAGCACTTTTGACATTGGTGTGGTTAGAGTTGAGGCTATATTTATTTTCCTTCTGTCTTTGTATGAATTCCACTTACTTTTCTCAAAGCCAGTCCTGAATTTCTGCTTAGAGAAAATTGATGGCAACAGCCAAACAGTTATATTGTATATTAATAAATTATCTGTGTGCATGATGAAATTAAATTTAATAAATAAGCACATTTTAATTTTAGCTTTACAAGAAATATGATAATTGTACAGATAATTTTGCTGTTATTGTTAGGACGTATCACATGTCATATGTCTACTGTGTTTAGTAGAGCGTACAAATGTGGAAAAATGGTATGAATGATTACAGATAACACTAGCAGTATTTTTCATGGTTTTATTTATAAAAGTTTCTTTATATTTTTCTTTAAAGTGAACTCTGTTTTTCATATTAAAAAAATGCTGCATCAATCTCATGCTGATATAACAAACAAACATAATATGGTGCAATAGAGAAAAACACCAGAAAAAATACACACACAGTTTTTACATACATACTTGAAATTTATTTTCTCAGTATAGATTTTATAAAGCCTATACATATACAAGATATATGGAAATTTTAAGTAATAAAGCCTGAGTTAAGTTGAAGTTAATCTGTTAATGGAGATCCTTACTAAACCTTGTAGAAAGTTTTTAAAAAAATAAAAAGTAGCTCTTGAGACACTGTTTTTTAGAGTTTATGATGAGCCTAGGCTGAGTAATATTCTGAAGCAGACATTCTGTATTTTTCTCCCATTCTTAAATAGATTATTCTTTTGTTAGAGAAGATGACTCCTTTTTGTTCATCTGTGTATCAGCAATGATTAAGTTAACCCATGAGTCTCTTTTTAAAGCTAGGCAGGGGTTATCTTGTTTTGATTAATAAAAGCAGTATTTGCTATTTAAAAGATTATCTACTTCAGCTGTTTATCAGGATAAGTAAAGCTATCAATTCTAGCTTTAGACAACTTGCAGATGAATAATTAGGGTCCTCATTTTCTTCTACTAGTTTTAGTATTAACTTGATGTGGTAGAGCACAAAGAATAATAGCATTTACTGCAGCAGCAGCTAGTTTTAGTGAGGACTGTATCCTGCCTTAACTCATAACAGTCTGCTGTGATTTTGGCCTGAAAGCAGTTCCATTCTGCAAGTTAATCTAAAGACTCGGTTTTTCTTTGAAGCACCAAGAGATATGATCTATTTCCTGAAGAACATAAACTGACAACACAAAGCCAGAGGAATTGTGGATTAGACTGGTTAGGGAGTTTTATAGCAGAAACAGAGAAGTGCAGATCAGTTCCTGGTGTGAAAAATGATAAAAGTCTCAGACACAAAAAGGAGACAAAAAAATACTCCAGGAAAAAAAGTAGTTTAGTACTGGCAAATAAAAAGAGAGAATGAAAAAGGAGTAGACTTTTGTGCACAGCGTAAATCATGGAGGGTGGTGAAGTTGAGAATGAGTATCCTGGATTTTCGATGATAAAACACACAAGACTGGAATGAGGAAAGATAAAAAATCAGAATCTGGAGATATGAAGTATGTCAACAACTAAGACTTGCAAAGAAGTGAATTATGGATGAAAGAAACAGTTATAGGTGTAGAAATAGTCAACAGAAAAAAATTTATATTTCCACTTTTGCAGTATTTATATCCATACTTTAGCCATGAGCTGTGAACCTTCCTAATTCTGTTTGGCTTGTGCGCCTCTCATCAGCTGCACTCTTGCTGCAGCAACGTGTTCGATGGGCTCTTATATTAAAGACACAGCACTTATTTAGTTCTTCCAGTTTAATGGTAAATTGAGAAATGCTACTTTGTAATTGAGTTTTTGAATCAGGAAGAGTTTTATTTTCTATTTTCTTCTAAATCCAGCAACCAGTGGCTGATCTTGTTCAGCCTGTGACTTGATCATCTTGGCTTAGCTTCCACAAAAAGATTTTTCTTTTTGACAGCTTCATTTTCCTGGTAGAATTAAGCTAGCTTGTGAAGCCTTTGTTACTGAACATTATGATTTCATTAAAGATAGTGTCATTAAAGGCTTTCAAAATTCCTGTATTAACTCTCTGCTGGATTTGATCAACGGGAAGTCAGTCTAGTGAAATAAAATTCAAATGGTACGCTCCTAGTAGTTTCTGTCAGTCCAGATGATACACTGTGGAGCCACCTTCTTACTTCTGGTCACTTCAGTGTATTGGATCTTGTTTTTAGATGTGAGAAGTTGTAATAAATGGAGCTTGAAGGGAGATTATACTTAGGCAAGGCAGCATGCAATAGTATCATGAACAGTGTCTTAGTCTCTTGCAAACTCAGTGTCAGCCTTTGCCAGATGTTGAGGTCTTTGAGCAAAACTCAAGTTCTGAGACAATGTTGAATGTAGATCTCCTGAAAGTGTGAATGTGGGTGGGTTTTGTCATTGGTATCATAATGGAGAAAGTGAATTATTGAGAATGAACACCTAAATCTAGTCAGCAAGCAGTGCATCAAAGAACAGCTAAATTTCATTTGCATGTTTTCTCTCTTCCATCAGTCACTACTTGAGTGGGCACTCCTTATACAGTTATGCCTTCCTTTCCTACTGTATAGATAGGTATACGGTGTTTATAACTGTAGTTATGAAATATGTTGAATTTGTAAAGCAACAGTATTTCTGTGGCATTACATTGTCCATGCTACTTGCTGTCCTGTCTCCTGCGTTATGTGATCCCCTGCAGCTGAGCCAGGTTCTGAGCTGTCTGTTCCAACTGTCCTGTCCTGACCTTAGTGTTCTCTCCAGAGCTTGGATGCCACTGACAGCTACTACTTGTTAGCAGTTGGGATATGTTAGTTGCCTTCTGGTGCAGTTTCATCTGAAAAGGATCCACTTTGTGTGCTCAAAGACTGTAAACTAAAGCACAGCGAGGATGTTTGGGAGATTCACTTCAGAAGTGCATCTGTAATCTAAAATAAATTGATAACATAGACACAACTTTTACAACCTCAGTTTCAGCAGTGAGGCACAGGAGAGGCTGGTACAGGCTTTACTTTCTCTGCCTTCTCCTGGCTGGCAGGGTGCCGTGTATTTCCATGGAAAGTCCTTTAGTGAGAAGAGTTGTCATGCATGGGGGTCAGTGAGGCACTGTGACTTCTACAGAGCAGTTGGGTGGTAGCGGATGGTTGCGATCATGCTTTTCCTATCCTCCTCTTTCTGAGATAATGCTGGTTGCAACAGTGACAGTTTGGTCCATATATGCAAAGCACTATGCAAATATACAATCCCTGTAATATAAAATGAACATTATATTTTGCATTGTTTTTATTTTGGCATAAGCTTATGGTCTGTTGCAAAGTGAAGAACAGTGCAAATGAGCTTTAAGAGCTTTTTCTATGAAACCTCTCCGAATTGTTCCACGCAGACTGAAGTAGAAAACAGAATTGGGGTCTCATATAGAATCAAAGCAAGCAAGACTGAAAGGAAACCCAGAAACTCACCATGCTTCACCTGCTGCCCAGAACAGGATTGACGTGTCAATGTGGTGTTTTTAACTGTTTTTTTTTCCCCCCTGATCTTTCTTGCAGGAGTTTCAGTGTCAGAGATTTCTTGATATCTGCAGATACTGTACAACACTATGCTATCCTTGAAGTTGTACGTATTCCTTGCTATGTAACCAGGATATTGTTTGTTGCAAACATTACTTTTTCTTGCTAGTCTAGATACAGAAATAATTACTCTTTGACGCTTCAGAAGCCTTTTATGTATTTGAAAATTTCTCAACAGGTTCTATTAGCCCAAAGGCTTTATTTAGGGCTGCTATAATTTATCTTTTGACTTTAAGTAGGATATATTAAGGTAATTTTCTGTCTTTTTAGCTTCCCACTGACAATAGAGTTTGCATAAAATGGATGTAACAGAGAAAACATAATGGTTTTAGGTTTATTATAAGAGAATGTATTGTAATCTGTCATTATGAACTCGGGATTTCTTTTAGAGAACAAAAAGGATATTTGCTCCCTCTATTAAATGAGAGTTTACTGATATAAAAAAAATTCAAGCTAAAAGACAGATCTGGAGTTTTACCTCCATTACATGTGCAAAAAATCTCTAAAGGTATTTTGTGAAGCAATGCAAAAAATTAAACTCCTTTTCCTGGGAAAGAATAAGAGCACAGAATATACTACTCTGTTTATACATTTAAGTAATTCTTGAAAAATTATTGTTCAGAGAACCCATTCTAAACTTATCTAAGAAGACTCATGCTCACGGTTTTGGAATCACTGTGTTGATGTTTCAGGCTTCCCACATGGTCTTAACAAAGCTTGGCTTCTTCCTTCTTAGGAAAAGTTTTATTTTTCAAGGGACATCACTGCTAGGGTATTATAAAACTACCATGAATGTTTTGTAATAATGGATAAAGAATGTATACTAGCAAATATATGCATTTTCCCAGAGGAATGAAAAATGCTTTGTTACTTCGGACATTTAGTTTCACAATGCAGTGAGCTCAGATAAATTGTATCTTTACAGCAAGAGGAATATGAAGAAAAATGCTGACCCATGTGGGTTTTATGTGATCATTATACATTATTTCTCGTGGCAATAGAGTCCTGATGTCCCAATCAAGGCCTCATACCCTTTTGTGTGACAGACTCTTAGTATGGAGACAAGGCAGAGCCACATCCTGCCCAGATCATCTTTTTATTTGAAGTTTTGACAAGACTGCAGGTGACTGAAGCAGGCATTTGGATAAGTCAGGAAGCAAGCATGTTTTGGCAGGTAGAGTAACAATCTTAGAAGCCCCAGCTACCAGCTATCCATAGAGATATGCAGGAAGACCCCAACCAAAAGGATGCATTAGGTTGTTTAAATATAAAGTAGTTAAGATATAACGTACTGCTGCACATAGGAATGAACAGTTTAACAGAACAAAAAGAACAAGTTGTCTTTCTTTTGCACAGACCGGTCCAAGAGTTAAAGGCGAAACCTAGTAAATTTTTTATTTGTTTTGTTTTAGAACGTCAAGCCTGTACATCTATGGCTGGCTCCAGCGTCCTTCCCTCCAACGCGGCTGGTATCAGTAAAGAGCTGATCGAACTGCAGCACCTCATCCAGTTCCCCGAGGAGGTTGCCAGCATTCTGACCGAGCAGGAGCAGGAGCTCTACCGGAAAGTCTTACCCATTGACTACCTCTGCTTTTTAACCAGGGATTTGGGTAATGCTGAATGTCAAAGCAAGCTACCATCTATTAAAGCTTCCATATCTGCTACTATTCTTTCTTCCCCCAATGATGAACATAATGCTGTAGAAGATCTTGTGACAAGGTTTAATGAGGTAAGACAAAACTTTTAAATTACTTTTCATAAGGGTTATTACCTGATTTGCGAGTTAGTTATTCCCCATATCTCTCAGAGCTGAATTTAGCTGTAACGACAAATTTTTAAAACATAAGTTAAGATGACCAAGGGGGTTTAGCTAAATAACTTCCACTGAATTTAATAGGAGTTATGTGACTGATTTGCTCAGTGAGTTTGGAAAACTGCAGCCTAAGTTTTTCTTGCACATTGTAAAGTAAACAGGAAGGAAAAAATGTCAGACTTTTATTTCTTTGTGTTTATATTGACAGTATGGGGTATACTTTCAGTCAGTTTATTATTTTGTTCAGGAGCTGGAGTTTTATTTATTTGTTTTGGATTTTTGTAGACTAAGCATGATCTTCGGAGTCAGCACAGAAGTATTATAAACTAGAAGTTTCTGTATTCTGAATAATACAGCTACACTAATCTGCACTATTTATTTATTTATTTAATCGCTGTGTGTCTTGAATGGTTTTATACAAAGAAGTATCATTTGGCATGACACATTTCCATAAGCCAAATCATGAGTTCTTTACTGAGATTTTACTTTATTCTCTGTAAAGTGATCTTCTGATGAGCTTAATAGAGAATTGATCAAGGATTGAAAAAACTCTAAAAAAAATCCACACCAAACCCCCAACTCAAAACACTCCCCACCCCCCCCTAAATAAAACCTCAGGTTTTAGCTGCAGAAAAATGTAACAAGTTCATTCATACTTTTTTGTGTGAACTGTATGCAATGTTCAGTTTCTGGATTCATGAAAGTGAAATAAAATGAAGATAGTCTTAACAAATTAGAAGAGCATAAGTCATCCACTGCATTCTTATGCTATAATAAGAGATTAAAATTGTGCAGTTATCAAAAGACAGCACAAAATTAAGTAGATAGAGCAGAATATGTATGAACCCCCAGTGAACTTTCTGTTTCCTGGGCAAATAAGGATCATTGACTGAACATTTAGTATGTTTTGAGGTGTTCCTGTTGCTTCCATGTGATTGAGATTTAGGAAATAAATAGTGTAAATTGTTGGCTTTGCTCACCTAATTCCATTATGGGAACATAAAAGTTGCAGCTACTATACTGAGTCCTTAGATAGAACCTAACAATTGTTTAAACTTGTTCTAGTTACTGTATTTAGGAAAACACTGTGGCTGGTGCATAACTGGAGAGGAATCTAGCTGCAGACCCAGCTAGGGTCCGTCCTGTGGTGTTTCTCTTATGGTGATCACTATAGTGAAAAAGGCGAAGTGGTCAAGCTCTAGTATGACCCGGTGAGGCACAATGCTAGAGCAGTTTGTTGGGACATTTTGCTGTTAGCAGTACAATTTAGATTGACTGTCTTGTGTTTTGACACTGCAGTCATGGGATTGAAGAGCAGGTAGGTGGTAAAGAAGTCTTGTCAGAAATGACTGAGACTATTCCATATCAATGAGAATATTAACATTAAAGTTGCCTTTTGGTATAGTAGTCAACATTATCTTTTAGTGTTAGAGGTTTGATTTTGCAGTTTATGTACTCTAACATTACTTGTTTGGTAATGTTAGAGGGTAATTCTTCATATAATTTGAATTAATTTCTGAGTATCTGGTGCATAAATTATATAATATTTAATGCAATGGATTATTTTAAGTATAATCTGAAATAATTTTTTTAAAACATGGATGTTACATGTTTAAATGGAGTTATTGCACAATATTCACTGCTTATAATAAATCACTATTTTGCTATCTGCTTTATCATATGGTGGAGTATATCAGTTGCCATAGCCAGTCACAAGCATGAACTTTCAAAATGTCTTTGTTTATAAATGGCAAGAAAATTCTTGTGCAAAGAGTCATGTTTTTGTTGGCAAAAGTCAGTGAGCACTTGCTGATTTTTTTGGCACTGCCTATAGAAATACTGAAGGGTATTTATAATGTGGGAGCCAGAATGACTTTTAGGATGACAGACTTCTGATACATGATGGGAAATAATATTTTTATGCCATTGTTCTCTTAAATGAGAAATTATAGTATATGAAGGATTTCATAAAGCAGTATGCTTTTTAGTAATTTTTCTGACACTTACTACATATTAATGAGAAACACTTTATAACACTTGTTTAAAATGACAGTCAGTAATTGCTGAAGAATTGCAGAACTGAATGAGAAATCAGTTGCCCTCTGCAGTAGGTAAAGTTGCTACTTGAAGACAGTTCATATGGCTGAATGTGCAATAAGTAACTGCTGTTATTTTTCCTACTCAATTCTCATGTGTGGAAAAGTGTAATAGTGGGCATACTGTCTAACACTGGATGAAGCCTGTAATGTGCATTTGCTTTTGCTGTATGACCTGGGTAATGTGTTTTGACTTAAGTTACTGGAAGTGATTCAGTGATCATAATAATGCTGATGATGCATCAAGAACACTTCCTAAAATTTTTTTTCGGTAGAAGGACAGGATGACAGTAGCTGGAGCTTTTGCCAACTTCAGTGTTTCATTATATCTGTAGCTTGTTTTAACATCTTGAGAATCTTGCAAGATTTCTGAAAATTATTGAGTGTCTTAGTATGACAGTGGAAAGACATTTTTCTCAGATACTCTTGTTCTGAGATTGCAGCATTGTGAGCCTGATGAGAGGAGATGAAAAGTGTAAAAAGGATTAAAAAAAAAGATCAGAAATCAGGTTAAGAAGCATATAGCTAGAAATCTGCATCACAAGTAACTTAACGCCAAGGAGAAAAGTTGTGGTTGTGCCTGAGGCCAGAGGGACTTTGTGTTGAAGTGTAGTGTGTGAGCCTGTTCCTTTGACAAGGGTTGAATAGGGTTTTGGCCAGCCAGACATTAAGTGGTATCTTAGTGCAACCAAGTGACAGTGCAAAAAATAAATAGTGATAGGTGGTATAAATTTAATTTGTGGGCCTTGCCTGATTTTTTTTTTTTAATAAGAGCTCTATTCCTGCTTTACAGGCAAAGTAACCAACTGAAATGTGTAGGTGAACTCCTCTGTGCTTTGAGCTTGTCTTTGTGGCAAGGTTTCCACAGCCTGCTTACACCTTGCCTGAAGAGCCACACAATTTGTTTTTAACCTGCAACAACCTGAACATACTTGTCACAGTGTCAGTGTCTGCTTGGGGTGTCAGTGGACTGAGCCCTCTATATTATGGAAGAGGTACCATTCCTTCACCTTGGGAACTGTGATAAGTGCTCACCTTGCCCTGTTTTGCATGGCTTAAGTGAATGCTTTGACCTTAAATTCAGGGGTACAGCAAGGAACTCTATTGCAGCTGGAGATACCTTTATTTGCCACAGATACTAGATGAAACTAATAACTGAGTAGCTTTTGTTTCTGATATATGAAGATCTTCAAAAAGTAAACATATATTGGAGAGATAGATTACCTTTATTAGTATTCACAAAAGATGAAAATTATAGCAGTCTAGATCCTCTTAATGTATACAGTTTTTCTTTTCACTGTCAAGAATGGTAGGGAAGAAAGTAGTAGTAGTGTAAGTAATGTAGAGACATGAAAGATGGATAGCATGGATTAAACGTACTGTCAAGCACTCCACAAACATGCAACTGGCAAATCCTGTGCTGCTGAGACTGGGAAACAGAAACTGCCTTGTTTAATAGACCATGGTTATTGCTTAGACCTGACAGTAACTAGAGAGGATTCAGGCATTATGTATTTCCCCATGTCTTTTTGTCATGGGTTTCCAAATATCAATTTATTGCCTATTATGTTAATCAAGGTGGCTGACATGGCAAGGAGCTTGACCACCCAATGTTTAAAAAAATATGTTGTGAGAAAGGTCAGTCATGAATGGTCTACTTGAATCCCACAAAATGGGATGGAATACTTTCTCAGATTATATTTCATTTGTATTTGAAAAGTTTTGGGTTATTCCAGCTCTCAAGTCTTCACAGACATTCACAGGGAAATAAAATATTCACAGGAATATAAGAATCTTAAAATCTGCTATTGTTGCAGTTTGTCTTCAGTATTTACTGTCTCTGATGGAGTTTTCAGACACACAGAAGTTCATATGACATACAGACCAGTCACTAAAGGTCTGTAATGTTTACATACATAGACATGTTTTTTCAGGTTCCGCTTCCCTAGAGGTACTGTGATAGTTATGGTGGAGATTGCCACTGAAGTTTAAATAACTTCTGTAATGCTGCTAAAGAAGCCTGGTCACTACTGTTTAAGAAATAGTTCATAAAACTCAAGTTAAATTAAAAACTAATCAAAGAATTAGAGAACTTTTCAACATGGGGAGTAGATGCAGTAGACCTGAAAAAGTAAAAGTTTAAAATGTTGGATAACCACAGAAGGATGAGAGATGCAGATGGAAGGTATTACCAAATCACTGTGATTATATACTATGCTGCAGAGAAAATATAGATTGCTATCTAATAATTTATCAAATATTTAATGAGGAGGAGAACAGAAGTGTGAGAAATTATACCATGCTCCTAAGGGATTTGAAATAGGTTTGCTTAAGGTTTAAATAGGTTTGCTTAAGGAAATAAATAGGTTTGCTTAAGAAACAATGCATTCTGGTGTTCTGCAATTAGCAAGGTGCTAGTTCCCATGTGAAGAACAGATCCAATAAATCACTTAGTTGGAGTAATGTCATAGTGTGGCATAAAACACTGAAAACCAAAGGAGTTTTGCTGGATTTGAAAAAGGGAGAGAAAATTATATATTGTGTTCACCTGCATCTTCAGCTCTTCTAGGCAGTGCATGCACTATCTTAGACATCTAAATGTGGCTGAAATTTGAACTTTATTTATTGGAAATGTTCTTTTACAATACTATTATTAAAATGCATCTTTTTTTCAGTTGTTCTTTAATCCTTAAGTTTAGATCAGATTTGATAAATAATCAAAGTCCAAGGACATGTTAAATTACTAAAAGGAAAAAGTTAACTGTTTGGCATTTAGGCCTCAGATATGTTCCTAAACTTTCATTGATCCAGTGGTCATCC